TGCTTGCGGTAATTGGAGGACGATCTGAGGCGGGGCATTGTACTGTAGTTGGTAATCCAGGTGTTCACCTACTAAGTTGGGCGCTACTAAAAGAGTATATTATATCAGGTTCAATAAATAAATAAAATTAACAGTAGCTGTTTTGGTTACATGAAAAAACAAAGATAGCGACACTGGATAATTCAGAGACTAGGGCAAAAGTATTGACATAGAAAATTATTTTCCGATCAGAATAATTTTCCAGGTTAGAGAATACTTATGTTGTAATTCATTTGCGAATCTGGAATTATGAATTTGTTTGCCAATGTATTGATCTTACATGACACCTTTTGTATTCTAAGAAAAATCTGTTCTACTCTTGTGATTATATAATTGCAGGCATTTGTCTTTTTCATCATACTAGCTTGTCGAAAGTAAAATTAAATTGATTATTTTATAGTGATGGCCTGCTTGGTTTTGCATGGGGGACGAGGCAAAATTTGCCCACTAATCTGAGTATCAGGTGTCGATGTAAACAGGGACCACACCAACAAGTCCTGCTGTACCGTACCCAAACTCATTGAGAGAGAATATCTTTTAACAACGTCATCGCATGCCCTCCTTAAAGCTCTTGCAGACCAATTGACGTCCATCGTAAATATGTGTGGGTTGGACAAGAACAGGCAGGGAATAACCTACGTCAAAATCGGAATAATGAAATCGGTAGAACTGAGCATGGCACGTCCTTCTCGTATTAGGAGGGGGACAGGTGCCGACTTCAGGCGCCGGTACAATAAGGCCAGAGGAAGGGAACGTTGAAAATCAAAATATCCTTCAGAAGCTCCATTTCACATGAAAGGGGCAGCAAAATGTCTTCATCGTTTCCCGATTAGGAAAGGAAGGGGGAATCACGTTATTCCTTTCAATGCAAGTGTGAACTTGCGCATGTGATGCGCTGTGCGCACGTCATTGCTCTTGCAGAAATGTTCTGGTTCGACAAGAACAGCCAAGGATGAACCTCCGTTAAAATCGGAATAATGAAATCGGCGTTGCCGAGCGGGGCACGTCCCGTTAGAAAGGGGCCGGGTGCCGACTTGGCGGGTACCGCGGCGCAGCGAGCACCTTTCAGCACGGGCCGGAAGCGACGCTTCGCCTGCATCCGG